GGAAATCTAGTCTGCAATTGTTACTAAAATTCTAAAATTCCTCTTATCCCACTATCCTTGCAACCTACTGCTGTTTGTGAAAGAATAACCAATGTGCAAATAGCTTTACGTAACTAGGCCAAGTGCATTTATAGAAGAAGAACTTGTTAAATTAATAAGGCCATACAAAAAGGAACAGGAGTAGGCTGTGTGGGCCCTCAAGCCTGCTCCGCCATTCAACAGTTTTACGGCTTATCCAACATTCCTCACAACCACTTCCCTGCCAATCTTGAATCCCCAACTGATCAAGAATCTATTTATCTCAGCTTTAAATACACACAGGACTCTGCCCCCACTGCTCTCTATGGTAAGGAATTCCAAAGAGTCTCAACCCTCAGGAGAAATTCACCCTCATCTCAGTCTTAAATTGGCACCCCTTTATTATGAGACAATGCCCTCTAGTCCTAGACTCTCCCATGAAGGAAAACATCCTCTCAGCACTTAGCCCTCAAGCCCCTTAAGAATCCAATATGTTTCAATGAGATCACCTCTCAATCTTCTAAATTCCAATGACTTTAGTCCCAACATGTACAATTTTTGCTCAGAAGACAACCCCTCCATATCAGAGATCATCCTCGTGAACTGCCTGCAATGAAATAATATCTCTTCTAAAATAAGGGAATCTAAACTACTCTCAGTACTCCACGTGATCTCACCTGCACCTTGTACAGATGCAGTAAGATTACACATCTCCTATATTCCAGCCCCTTGAAATAAACATTCCATTAGCCTTCCTGATTATCTGCTGCACCAATGTGCTAGTTTTGTGTGGGTTTCATGCACACGTACTTCCTCCCAACTTTCTGTTGCAGCTTTCTGCAGTTTCCCTCCATATGTAACATCCTGCTCTTTTGTTTTCCCTATGAAAATAAGCGAAGTCCCACTTTCCTACTTTATACTCCATTTGACAACTTTTTGCCCACTTACTTAACCTATCAATATCTCTGTACACTGTTTACATCCTCCTACAACTTAACCTTTGACCTATTTTTATGTTGTCTGCACATTTGGCTACAGTACATTCGCTTCCTTCCTCTAAGTCATTAGTATACATCAGACATAGTTGCAGTCCCAGCACTGATCTCTGTGGAATCCCACTGGTTACAAATTGCCAACCTGGAAAAGAATCCTTTATCCCTAGTCACTGTTTAACACCCATTAGCCAATTTTCTATCCATACCAATATACTACCTCCAACACCATGATTGTTATGATGACTAGGTAGATAATAGGTGTAAGAGCCAACATTACTGTCAAAATTGAAGCATAAACCAGATACAAATCTACAGAAAGCTGACTACCAAGGTTTATGCAGTACATGTAGCAACTTTACAAACCAAAGTAAAAGTTTAGAGTCAAGTCACATGAAATGTTGCAAACTCCTGAAGCAAATAGATGAAAATTTTAAACACACCGTGAAAAATGTAGCGAAGCATTATGATACAATTTGTTTGAAATTCATTTTGAAACTGTTATCTCTGAGCTACATTAGTAGTTTTACTTCAGAGTCTAGATTCAAATACCACTTCAGAACTTAATCAACTATTCTGTACCAAAACTGCAGTCCGTTACGGAGGTTGTGCTATATTGTCAGTTAAGGCATCTCTCAGATGAGATGTCACACAATTAAAATGAAAGCTCCCATGAAACTAATCAAAGACGGACAGAGCCTTTCTCTCAATATTTATCTCTCAACCAATGTCATCAAAAACAGATATGCCAATCACTTCACAGAACTGTTACAGTGCAAGAAGTTGACATTTGGTCCACCTTGCCTGCACCAGCTCACGACATGGTGCCAATATTCTGCTTTTTCCCCAAACCTCTGCACATTGTTTTTAACCAAATAATTACTCAATGCCCTCTTGAATGTCTCAATTGAACTTCCAGGCAGTACATTCCATACCCTAACTACCTGTTGTGTGACAAAGCTTTTCCTCACTTCACCCTTCCTTCTTCTGTAGATCATTTTAAACCTATGCCCTCTTTTTCTTGTTCCTTTTAGGAGTGGGAATAGTTTCTCCCCATATACACAATCCTCATTCATGATTTTGAAACCCCAATCAGATCTAATCTCTTTTGCTGTTTGTGGGATCTCTCACTACATAAATTGACTTGTTTTTACACTTAACTGCACTTACAAAAATTCTTATATTTTACAAAGTCCTTAGGGATGTACTGAATACCTGAAAGGTGCCCTGTAAATTCAAACTACTTCTTAAATTCTATTAAATATTACAACACAAATATAAAGCAGATTTCTTACTGATCCTTTACTTGGAATATTACAACTACAAATGTCTGGAGTTTGAAAGTACGAGTATTAATGAAACTGTGGTGCCCTCTGTTGATCACATAGCTGAAAACTAAGGGACAGAATTATTGTGCATTTCTTTTCTCAGTCAGTTGTATTCAGTGAAAACAATAAAATTCAAAAAGGCACAGGATCAAAATCAAGAAAATCTACACTTGGGGATGTGATAACTAACAGCATGGCTGATTGCATTTCTTCATAGTCAGTGAATTCCAGGCCTATCCAAATTCTGAAAGTCACATATAAATTCTTGTCTTTTGTCTTCTTGTCACCCTTTTCTAAATCTATTTTGAAAAACGTTGACAAATGAATCTTGTATTTAAGTCACAACAACAACTTTAGCTGAGAGATCAGAGAGAAAGAGGATTCCTCAAACCGTTACACAAAAATCACACCCCTGCCCATTAAAAATCCTTGCATAAATTTTGAACTTACATTACACAGTTACCTTATTTGAATGTTTCCGGTATAGATTAATAAACATATTATGGAAAAATGAGGCAGCACTGCTGTCTGCATTACTAGGTGACATCATTATTTAATTGAGACTATAATGAATACATGCAGGAGGGCATGCCAGGAGCAGCAGCAGGCATACCTGAAGATGAAGTATCAACCTGGTGAAGCTACTAAAACAAGACTACTTGCACGCCAAACAGCGAAAGCAGCAAGTGATAGACAGAGCTAAGCGATCCCACACCAACGGATCAGATCTAAGTTCTGCAGTCCTGTCACATCCAGTCATGAATGGTGGTGGACAATTTAACAACTCACTGGAGGAGGAGGCTCCACAAATATCCCCATCCACAATGATGGAAAAGCCCAACACATCAGTGCAAAAATTAAGGCTGAAGCATTCGCAGTAATCTTCAGCCAGAAATGCCAAGTGGATGATTCATCTCGGCCTCCTCCAGTGGCCTCCAGCATTACAGATACCAGTCTTCACTCCACGTGATATCAAGAAACGGTTGGAGACACTGGATACTGCAAAGGCTACCAGCCCTGACAACATTCCGGCAATAGAACTGAAGACTTGTGCTCGAAAACTTGCCGCTCCCCTAGACAAGCTGTTCCAGTACAGTTACAACACTGGTATCTACCCAACAATGTGGAAAATTGCCCAAGTACGTCCTGTACACAAAAATCAGGACAAATCCAACTCGGCCAATTACTGCTCCATCAGTCTCCTCTCGATCATCAGTAAAGTGATGGAAGATGTCATCAACAGTGCTATCAAGCAGCACGTGCTCAGCAATAACCTGCTCACTGACGCCCAGTTTGGGTTCCGCCAGGGCCACTCAGCTCCTGATCTCACTACAGCCTTGGTTCAAACATGGACAAAAGAGCTGAATTCCAGAGGTGAGGTGAGAGTGAAAGCCCTTGATATCAAGGCTGCATTTGACCGAGTGTGGCATCAAGAAGCCCTGGCAAAACTGGAATCAATGGGTATCAGGGCAAACGCTCCAGTGGTTGGAGTCATACCTGACACATAGGAAGATGGTTGTGGTTGTGGGAGGTCAATCATCTCAGCTCCAGGACATCTCTGCAGGAGTTCCTCAGGGTAGTGTCCTAGGACCAACCATCTTCTGCTGCTTCATCAATGACCTTCCCTCCATCATAAGGTCAGAAGTAGGGATGTTCGTCAATGATTACACAATGTTCAGCACCATTCGTGACTCCTCAGGTACTGAAGCAGTCCATGTTCATATGCAACAAGATCTGGACAATATCCAGGCTTGGGATGACAAGTGACAAGTGACATTCGCGCCACATAAATGCCAGGCTATGACCATCACCAATAAGAGACAATCTATCCACCATCCCTTGACATTCAATGGTGTTACCATCTCTGAATCCCATACTATCAACATCCTGGGGGTTACCATTGACCAGAAACTCAACTGGACTCACCACATTAACAGAGTGGCTACAAGAGCAGGCCAGAAGCTGGGAATACTGCAGCGAGTTACTCACCTCCTGACTCCTCAAAGCCTGTCCACCATCTACAAGGCACAAGTCAGGAGTGTGATGGAATACTCCCCACTGGCCTGGACGAGTGCAGCCCCAACAACACTCAAGAAGCTTGACACCATCCAGGACAAAAGCAGCCCGCTTGATTGGCACTATTTCTACAAGCATTCATTCGCTCCACCACAGACGCTCAGTAGCAGCAGTGTGTACTATCTACAAGATGGACTGCAGAAATTCACCAAAGATCCTCAGACAGCACCTTCCAAACCCATGGCCACTTCCATCTAGGACAAGGGCAGCAGATATATGGGAACACCACCACATCCAAGTTCCCCTCCAAGTCACTCACCATCCTGACTTGGAAATATATCGCCGTTTCTTCACTGTCACTGGGTCAAAATCCTGCAATTCCCTCCCTAATAGCATTGTGGGTCAACCCACAGCAGGAGGACTGCAGCAGTCCAAAAAGGCAGCTCACCACCACCTTCTCAAGGGCAACTAGGGATGGGCAAAAAATGCTGGCCCGCCAGCGACACCCACATCCCACAAATGAATAGAAAAAAAACTTGGATGGCTTGTCCTTTAAAGCTTACAGATGGGTTTAGTATTGTCAAAAATATAAAGTGATGCAAATTAAACAGAATGTTTTAGGGATTACTACAAAAATGATCCATACCTTGCACTATTTAGAATATTCTTTTTCTCTTGTTCCTCCTTGCGTGCCCGTAGTTGCTCCTGTGCCATAGCCATTTCTTCTTCCATAGAAGACAATTCTTCTTTGGCACGACGACGATTTTCCTATTGAAAATCATCAAACAGTATGAAAATTCAACAAGCATACTGAATTACAACGCTCACTAGTGCATTGTCTTTTAGTGGTCTCTGGAGAATAAATATACAGCATCTCCCACTTCAACAGCTTGCTGACAACAGTATGAATTGTACCCCGAATGGGAAGCAGATTACAATTTTTTCAATTTATTTTGGAGACGTAATGAATCAATACTGTATGGTTCTTTGATTTCCTCAATTTCACTTTAGGAAATTTGTTATTTCTGGCATATGGGTTTGAAGATGGTAGGGAAGAGAATTTAATGTGAATGCTACAAATCTTTCCATTATTCAAAGTTAGATTTTGCTCCGTTCACAGAATGTATTCAAGACTAACGGAATTAGTTGCCTTCTCAGCAGTGCAAGCAAGCAGCAACACAACTTAACATGGAACCTGTGTCCTTCTACATCTCAGTCATGCTCAAACTGCTGTTCAGTGACCCTTAAATCATATGATTAAGTAATATATTGAAAGCTTTGTAACAAGCTTCACCTTTTCTTGAATACAAGTTTGAATGTAGCCACATAGCAACCAAAGAACACCACTTGTCTGAAGATTACAATTCAGAGAATGCTAGTTCCTACAAAAATCAAATCGATATAACACAAAAAAAGGAATTCATCACATATCCAATACAACTACTGCCTCTCAGAGATTGTAGGAACTGCCGATGCTGGAGTCTGAGATAACAAGGTGTACAGCTGGATGAACACAGCAGGCCAGGCAGCATCAGAGGAGCAGGAAAGCTGATGTTTCGGGTCTGGACCCTTCTTCAGAAATGAGCCTCTCAGGGCTCCATTAGCTGGATGGCTGGTTTGGAATGCAGGAGGATGCTAACAGCATGGGTTCAATTCCTGCACTGACTGAAGTTACCATGAAGGACTCTCCTTCTGAACCTCTCTCCCCACCTGAGGTGTAGTGACCCTCAAGTTAAATGACCACCAGTCATCTCCCGCTAATTAGACAGCAGCCCTATGGTCAGGCAGTACTATGGTGACTTTACCTTTAGTGCCTTCTACTTAAGTAATATATTGGCAGCATACTCCAGTGCAGATGTACTCATTTAATACCCCAGCTATGCCCTTTGCCCTCACAAGATTATCACTGGTCCCTAATTATCTTTGCTCTTATTTTGACTACTGTAGATGCTGATGCACAGGCCGACTTTTGAAAATCCCTAAGAAATTGGAGGTTGATTATATATGTCTCACACAAAAGTGAACCGCTAGCATAGATGTAAATGATCACTATCTTTTTTCACTTGCTACAGGGGTATGGTCTGCATTGGCATGTCTTACACTTCACCCCATGTTTTCACAATACAGTATCGCCTGTTTGACTCCTTATACGTAGCATTAATGCATCAGTAAGTAGAACACACACTTTTGGGATGAAAAACTGAAGCTGACTATTGGTACAACATGTAGTGGCTGAAGACATGGGTCAACTTATACGCCAAGTAAATTAAATGCAAAAACATTAGTTTTAAAGAGTCAAATATTGAGTCAGCTTATATACTGGGTATTTTTGCATGTGGTGATCTACAGTACTTGTTTGGTATCTGACTATAAAAAACTTTTAGGTTCCCTTTCAGCTATTAATCCATTCTTACGCTCTTTCAAGTCAACTACGTTTTGTGAAAATAGCTGCTCAAAACATGAACATTAGCTCCATCATTTGGTTGATGTATACAGATCATAAACACTGCAAGCACAAGCTACTGTTCTTTTGAAACAGAATAAACGCTAAATTTTTATAGTCAAGTTATCATACAATTGTACTACCTTACCTGTCGAGTTTTACCAGCTTGCTTGACACTGTAAAACATTGGTCCAAGTTCAGCAAGCCACTCCCCATCCACTGCAGTAACACACTGCATGTACTCCTGAGAAAAAGAATTGAATTCATCATGCAGCATACTACAAAACGAGACAATACAAATATGTCTGACAAATGGAGTCCACCCCTACTGAAGATTTTAAATAGAGCATTTTGAAACAGCAAAGATGGCAATTCTAAAAATGGTGTCGCAGCATTTTCATTTGAGACTAAAATAACTAAAATGGACGGCAATAAATTGGTGATTAAACAGTATTGCCTGATACTTTAAACTATAGAGAACATCAGATAATTGTTTAAAGCATAAATTTAATTCACTAAGTTATTTACATTATATGCCTAATATAAAAAGCTGATAATCTGGGGGAAAAGAAAAGTGAAATTCTGATCCAACTATAAACTATTTATCCCTGCGCAATACCAGGATGGTATTACCTACAGTATTCAATTTATTTGTAATGTTTAAGATTTTCCTATCTAAATCACTAGATATGCAACATATGGTTGCAATCACAAGACACTGTCAAAATTCCTCAAATATGCCAGTTCCGACAAAAATATAAACTCTACTTTTCCATCACATATGCAGGCTGCCCTGCTGAGCTTTACAAGAATATTCTGTGTTTAGTTCAGATTGCTACCATCTGCAGTATCTTATCTATTTTTCTTCAAAGGTACCAATTCCCTTCAAGGTCATATTTTAATCCAAATCCATATTTACAATTAGATCTTGCACATCTTTTCAAATCTTCAGTCTAATTATGCATTGTTAACCACAAAGAAAATACTTTGTTAGACATGTTCTTATCGAAATTGCACTCAAAAGTGACTAAGTGTAAAGTAAACCAATATTTTCATTAAAATTTCTCTGAACCCTGCCGTAAATAGTAGGTAACAAAGTCTGTAGCATTTTAATGTTTTTTCATACAACTGAACTAGCTCAGTTTGCATCTCTAAAACTTACCTTTGAAGTCATCACTAGTTCATGGTATACAATATAATCTGGGGTGTAACCCATGCCAAAAAGTGAACTCGTCGGGTGCAAGTGGCATGGCATGCCTGTTCTCACATTCACATACTCTCCAATACCCTGCAAACATTTTTAAAAAGATGGTAAGAACCAATCATTTCTTACACATTTTAAAAAAACTGAAGGCTACAACCTAAGGGATATAAATTTTGAAGAATTCCTATCTTCACAGGATTAGAGGGTTGAGAAATTCAGACTTTAGGATTAGAAAAGGCTACAGAGGTGAGGTCATAGAGAAATTGTAGATTAAATTGCGGGTGTGGGGGAATTAGAAGTTGATATAAATTTGCAAGGACAGATGTGATTAATTGAGTGGCAACGGAATTGAAGTGTACTACAGGTTGCAGACTTAAGAATCGAACAAGCAAGGATATAACACCGGACAAAAGGTTACTTTAATGATGATGAACAAAACACAACATTTTGGAAAGAAATAGAAGTGAGAGACAATTAACCTTAAAGACTACATGTCGGCAAAATTTTATCCATGACCCCTTCATATCCAACATTGCAATACACTTTAAAATTATATTATTTTTGGAATCCAGTGACTATATAAGTTTTTTTCTACAATAGCAACATTCCACCATAAAATACACAAAAATCCCACAAAATTCAAAGTCCTCTCTCTTCATCAATACTAGTGATCATTTCCTTACTTCATCCTTAGAGGAAACACCAAGCTAAGTTGAAGAAATATAGCAGTAAAGGTCAAGGACAATGAAGTTGAAAATTTGAGATACTGCAACATATGAAATGAAATATTAAGGAAGAAGATTGGGAGTCATCTCTAAAACTACAAAACTAAGACCATGTACCATTTTAATAGTTAAACCATTTTCTTACCTTGAGTTTTGCAGCCTGGTGAAAGTATGCTGCACAGATGCATTTTCTGATGATATCCCAGTCAGTACCACAGGATACAATATTCATACGCTGTTGCATCATTATATCCTTTAACTGGGAACGAACCTCTCGGACCTTTGACAAAAAGACAGGTGAGTCAATAAATCCATTGCAACTTCTATTTCAATTATTCCAAATCTTATTATTTCTTACTGCATGACTCTGGATTCCTTTGTGCCCACCCCTGGAGTTATACAAAATACTATTCCTCAAGAATGAATATTTCGCAGCTATATTTGTTGGCTTGACTGCAGACTGGCACCTAAATCAATTAATCACTCCAGATTAATCCCTTTTTCAAAACATTTACAGACTCTTCTTTGACAGTTTGTGGTTGAAAAATTGACATTCCACCTAAGTTACTTTTCCTCATTTACCTCCATTCGTCTTTTTAGAAAGTAATGATAATTTGTGACCAGTTTGGACAAGATTGGAAGCTAAATGCACAGGATTTAGGATATTTAGGAAGAACAAATAAATTATTAAAGGAGGAGCAATATCAGGAAAACATACCAGTTTGGCACTTTAAAAGAAGTGGCCGAGATTAATTCAATCGCGATCATTAGAACTGAAGAACAGGAAAGGATGCAAAATATTTACGGTTGCATTTTGTTTTCCTACTGATTAGGAAGGACCTATATGCAATTCCAGAAGAAAATGGTTGTAACAATGGGGAATTTCATCCTGAATGTAGACCGGGAAGAAAGTGGCAGCACAAGCTGCGAAGGGAATAAATTTACCAAATGCATTCATAGTTTCCTGAGGCAACAGGTCTTCAAGTACACGATTCAAACATTATATGATTAACTTCTGAACAATGGAGCAAAATGGCAATCAATAATGAAAAACTTCTATAATTCTATAATATGAATGAATCAGTGATTATAGCCTACATTGCGGTGGACAATGTGCAATTTCTATATACTTTCACATAACTTATTTTTGAGTTTGGACTTTTGAATTTTGAATGAGTAGCATACAGGCTTTATGTCTGTGTAAGTATTTCTGTTGCCATGGTGATTTTTTTTAAAACACACAGAGTGAGAGGGGAAGACTTCCTGGACAGTGATGGGTATTTGTTTACATTGGGGGAATTTTACAAGCAAAAAAGGTAAATTATTTTTACAGGCTTCAGTTTAGACAGTAAGAGATTGATTTATTTTTTCTCTTTTGATAAAAGGAAACATCCATAAAGTTTGGGAAAAAAAAGTTTTTTTGAGTTTCAGGTTGGGGAGTTCTGCAGCGCTCATAGCTGAATCTGAAAGTGTAAAGCAGTTGCTCCAGAGAAAGGGAGAAGATAGTTTAGAATTGTTTAAAAACAGGTTTAGTCCAGAGTGTTGGAGCTCTGAACCAGAATTGTTTGGTAAAAAGCTAAAGGGATTATTTGAAGCTGATAAAACTAAACTCAGTTATATGAAGCCACTAAGAAGAAGAAGTTATCAATTCTCAAGACTGAGACTCAAAGCCACAGTTAAAATTATTATCCATATGGTAAAAGAGGAGGAAATTCTTTCTGGCATGCGTACTTTAAAAGGGTACTTTTGGGATTAATGGGATTAAATTTTTACCATGCCTTTGGAAATTATTAATCATGAGTTAAACGTAAATAGTTTGGTTCATTCTATTTTATCTTCATTTATTGCGTCTGTTTTATGATTAAAACCCAATCTGCAAAACTGCATGCTTATGTTTCAATGAGAGACCACCTCATTAAATAAAGAAAACAAAATATGACCTATCAAGCTGGAATTCAGTCTGGGATCTGATTTGTTCGGTAATAACATCAACTGGGATGATAACATTATTCATTCTTGTGATATGGATATCACTGGTAATGCCAACATTTAAGACCCATCCCTAATTGTCCTTGAGTAAGTGATGTATCCTTAGATTACCGCAATCCATGTGGCAAATGCCCACCCACAGTTAAGAACTCCAGAATTCTGAACCATTAATGAAGAAAGAATAGCCATAGATGTCCAAGTTAGGATGGTCCACGGCTTGGAGAGGAAATTGTATAAGCTGGTATTCCTGTGTACCTGCTTGAGCTTCTAGGCATAAGATATAATGGATTTGGGAAGTGTTTTCATTGCCTGGTCAAAAGGGAATTTTGTAGATAGCATATGCTGCAGTCACAGTGTACCAGTGATGGATGCGCTGCCGTGAGTCTCTCAAGTGTGGTTCAAGCTACAATCATCTAGGCAAGTGGATAATATTCCATCACACTCCTGCCTTGTGAACGATGGAAAACTTTAATACATCATAAGTCACTCACAATAAAAAGTGCAGACTTAGATATCTCATAGGCATATTAAATTTTTGGTCAATGGTAAGCCTCAGGATATTTGTACTAAGGATTGTTGGCAATGGCAAGGCTGTTTAAATGACAAGATAAGTGATTAAAATCTCCACTGTTGTAGAAAGTCATTGCCTGCTACTTACGTAGCGTAAACATAATTTACTGCCTATCAGCCCAAGCCTCGATGCTTTCTTGAGCAGCATCCAAAGATGGAGTTAAGTGATCTCACTATCAATGGATCAGATCAGAGCTCTGCACTCTTGCCACATCCAATCATGAATGTTCATGGACATTTAGATTAACTAACAGAAGAAAACTGTATGAACATTTCCAACTTCAGTAAAGGTGCAGCCCAACACTGGCGTGCAAAAGATAAGGCTGAATCATTTGCACTTACTGCAGCCAGAAAGGCCAAGCAGATGCATAGGTTCTGCTGCATGTGGTTATAGAGTGGTTCGTTATCTGAAGGTTAAGGGGGGACCTGGTAGAAACATATATGATCATGAGGGACACGGACAATGTATTTAGAAAGCAGTTAGTCCCTTAGTCAAAGGTTCAATAACAAAGGAGCACAATTCTGAAGTGGAAGGCAGGAGATTTGGGGGGAGTTTTGATGAAAAGCTTTTCCACCCAGAGGCGAGTGGGATCTGGAATGCACTGGGAAGGGTGGTTGAGGTGGGAAACCCCACAACCTTCAGAATATACTTGAATGAGCACTTCAAGTATCTTAACATTCAAGGCTACTGGCATACTGCGAGAAATGGGACAAGTGAAGGTAGTAGTATATTTTTGGCAGTATAGACTCAATGGGCCACAGGGCCTGTTCTGTGCAGTATGATTCTATGATTTTTAGGAGCTGTGAATGAAGCAAAATACTGTACAATCATCAGCAACTTTTGACCTTATGATAGAGGAATCATCTTGACTAAGAAGCCTAAAAATGGTTGGGCCTTGAGCACTGCCCAGAGGAACTGCTGCAGTGATATTCCAGGGTTGAAATTATTGGCCTAGAACAAATACAACCATATTCCTTTTGTGCTAAATACGACTTCAGTCAATGAAGAGTTTTCCCTCTGACTCCCACTGATTTAAATTTTACCAGGGTTCCTTATGTCACACCTGATCAAATGTGGGGTTAATGCCAAGGGCAGTAATTTTCATTTAATTTCTGAAATTCAGCTCCTCTATTCACATTTGTACCAACACAGTAGTGAAGGTTGGAATCGAATGTATACGGGGAACTCAGAGTAACATCAGTGGGCAGGATATTGCTGAGTAAGTGATCTTCTAACACTTTGTTGACTGGTAAAGAAGTCTAATGGGTTGTTTTTTGTCTGGCTTTTTGTGGACATGATATACCTGGTCAATTTTTCACCTTGTTAGCTCAGCTTAACTGTCTAGGTGTACTGGAACAGCTTGGATAGAAGTGCAGCCAGTGCTGAAGTACAAGTCTTCAGCCCTACAGCCAGGTTGCTGTCAGGGCCAACAGCTTTTGCTGTACCTAGTGCCCTCAGCCATGTCCTGATATTTTATGAAGTGAATCAAACTGGGTTCTAAAACGATGCTCTGTACTTCTGACTGAAGACAAGTATTAAAAGACAAAAACGAAAAATTTACAACAAAGTTCCAGGCTCAACCATTGCTGAGGATTGGAAACTTTCCTGGAGTTTCCACCTCTCGTTGGTTGTTTACAATTGTCAACTACTATTCATGAATGGAGGTGGCAGACTACAAAGCGTTGATTTCATCCTGTGCTTATGAGATCCCTTAGCTTTGCCCTTCGTGTGCTACTTTTACTCTTTATCATGCATTTAAGTCACATATTATGGTTTCATCAGATTGGTGCCTCAGTTTCAGGTATTCCTGATGCTGCCCCTGGTACACTCTCCCATACTCTTCATTGAATCTGGCTTAATGATAGAACGAGGAGGATGCTCAGCTCTCAGTAACTAGATGTGTTCTCAATCTATTACTTGTAACTCAATGACACTGCCACACAAGATAATAGAGGGTATCCTCAGCATAACGTCAGAATTTTGTTTCCACAAGGACTGTGCAGTGATCACTTCTAATTATACTGTCATGGTAAGATGCATCATTGGCAGGTAGTTTGATGAGGGCAAGGACATGAAGGTTTAAACAAAGTTTAGCTGCTTGCACAGCATGCTCATGCAGTCACACCTAGGTCACTGTACATTTCTGCTCACTACAGGTAATAGTACCTAATATTTTGCAAAAAATACATCATTACTTAAATAACTAAGTACTCATGAGTATACCAATAGAAGTATTAATAACACAGTGACTTAACACTGACATTACCTTTCTCATAGCCTTCGCATGGATAAAGTGTTCATTAGCCCAAATAGTGGAATAGTTATTATTTTTCCACTGCAGGTAAACATTAAGGTATGTCAAATGGTCACTTTCTGGCACAGCAAACTTCTCCCTCATTTGATCACTCTCTTCCTCTCGACCCTGAAATTTTAGAAAAAAGGTATTTGCTCATTTAGGCCGTTAACTCATTAGTTTTATATTTAGACACTACCTTTTAAAAGCCAGTATTTTCACCTGTAAAAGAAACAAAACTCTTTTAAAAAATCTAAAAAACCAGTCTACATTGAAGACTTTAATGCAAAAATGTTGCAAAGAACACGTCTATTTATTTTGCTATTCTTTTTCTTTGAAATGAGAACTGTTTTAAAACCAGGGACTGCAAGGATTGTTGCATGAAAACGAGTAACTTAATTCTCATTACGAACACTGTTTTGTTCAGTTGTGGGTTACAGCAGTGGTTGCAAATGAACTGGAGCCAAACAAGTGCGTACAAACGGAGTTTTAGTTGGCAACAGCAGCCGATTGATTTGTGGACTACTGACCAGTTACCAATAACAAAGGTCTTCTACCTGCCAACAATCACATTCTCAGGTAGCTGAACATCTTGCAGCTGCACACAGGATAGACAGAAATTTTCAGATCACTAAATAGTTAAATAGCCTAATTAAAGGAGGTAGCTGCCTGACTGTGGCAACATTTAAGCACTGAATTCCTTTGTCTAAATTGGGTGTTGATCACTGCAGCTAAAACAAATCTGAGCAAATCCATAGAATAAAGGGATATTTTTTGCACCACCTAGTCAATAAGATGCATGGTCAGTGTGAGGGTACTTCAGTGGAGAGATAAGGTCCTGCAAAGGGAATTTAGGTTTGATAGGAAGTTGAAAAACAGGACCTCCAGAGTTGTAATCTTGGGATTACTCCTTGTGTCACGTGCTAGTGAAGCCAGAAATAGGAAGCCAATACAGTCGAATATGTGGCAAAATCCTTGAGGAGTATAAAGGAATCAAAAAAGAACTTAAAGAATAGGAGGGGGCATGACAGGTCCTTGGCAAATAGTGTTAAGGAGAATTCCAAGGCATTTTATATGCACATTACGAGCAAGAGGGTAACCAGGGAAAAGGTGGGTCCACTCATGGTCAAAGGAGGGAATTTATGTATGGAGCCAGAGGAAATGGATGAGGTCCTTAATGAGTACTTCACATCAATATTCATCAAGGAGAAAGTGATCGATGCAGTTAAGTTTAGAAAGGGGTCTGTTGATACTCTAAGGCATGTCAATATTAAGAAGGTGGTGGTGGCAGGTGTCTTGAAAAACATCAAAGGTAGATAAGTCCTCAGGGCCGAATGAGATTTATCCCTCGATACTGAAGGTGCAAGGGAAGAGATTGGTGAGGCTTTGACAGAGATCTTTGTACCTTCTTTAGCCACAGGCGAGATCCCAAATGAAAAGGCACTGTTGTTCCTTTGTTCAAGAAGGGCAACTGGGATAATCCAGGAAATTATAGCCTGATGAGCCTTACATGAGTGGTAGGGAAATTATCAAAGAAGTTTCTTAGGGACAAGATTTATTTGCATTTGAAGAAGAATGGACTTTTTAGGGATAGTCAGCATAGCTTTGTACAGGGAAGGTCCTGTCTCAATAACTTGATTGAATTTTTTGAGGAAGTGACAAAGATGATTGATGAGGGCAAGGCAGTGGATGTTGTCTACATGGGCTTTAGTAAAGCATTTGACAAGTCCCTCATGCTAGGCTGGTCCAAAAGATCAAATCATATGGATTCCATAGTGAGGTGGCAAGTTGAATACAGAATTGTCTTGGCCATAAACAGTGGGTGGTTGTGGAAGGGTGTTTTGCAAACTGGAGGTCTGTGACCAGTGGTGTTTCACAAGGATCTGTGGTGGGACCTCAATTGTTTGTAATTTATAAATAATTTGGATGAAAATGTAGGTAGTCTGATTAGTAAATTAGCAGATGACACAAAAATTGGTGGAGTTGTGGATAATGAAGAAGGATATCAAAGATGCAGCAGAATATAGGTCAGCTGGAATGTTGGGCAGAGAAATGACAGGTGGAGTTTAATCTGGACAAGTGTGAGGTGATGTATTTGGGAGGCCAAATGCAACAGGAAAGTACATAGTAAATGGCTGGAGCCTTAGGAGCACTGATATCCAGAGGGATCTTGGGCTGCAAGTACATAGCTCCCTGAAAGTGGCAACGCAAGTGGAATACGGCGGTAAAGAAGTCATACCGCATGCTTGACTTCATCAGTTAGGGCAAGGAGTATAAATGTTGGCAAGTCATGTTGCAACTGTGTAGAATTTGGTCAGGCCATATTTGGAGTTCTGTGCACAGTTGTGGTTGCTGTACTATGAGGAGGATGTGGAAGCTTTGGAGAAGGTGCAGAAGTGGTTTACCATGATGTTGCCTGGATTGGGATGCATCAGCTATAAGGAGGTTGGATAAACTTGGATAGCTTTCACTAGAGCATTGGAGGCTGAGAGGTGACTTGGTAGAAGTATATATTATCACGAGAGGCATGGACAGGGTGGATAGTCGGAGTTTTTTTCCCCAGAGTGGCAATGTCAAATACCAGCTGGCAAAAGTTTGAGGTGAAAGGGGAAACTTTAAACAAGAAGGGCGAGCAATTTTTTTTTTTAAAAACAAGAAGTGTGTGGAAAGTTTTTTTTAAAACACAAAGTGTAGTAGATGCCTGAAATGCACTGCCAAGGGAGATGGTAGAAGCAAATATGACAACTAAGTTTAAGAGGCACTTAGACAGACAAATGAACAGATAGGGAATAGATGGAATTAAAACAAAGTTGCTGGAAAAGCTCAGCAGTTCTGGCAGCATCTGTGGAGGAGAAAACAGAGTTAACGTTTCGGGTCCGGTGACACTTCCTCAGAACTGAGGAATAGATGGAATTAGTTTGGAACAGCATCATAGTTGGCACAAGATGGTGGCTGAAGACTCTGATCCTGTGCTCTACTGTTCTATGTTCTTTTGTGGAGTGAGACAAAGGCTATGGAGTAAGTATACTGTTAGAAATTTGATTCAAAATGGGAAATTAGTGCAAAAGGGAACAGGTGTTTTCACTAAGGTTTACTGTAAGAAGTAAATGCTCTAGAATAAGGAGTGAGTGGGAGAGGATAAAAAGCATGAATCAAGATGCGGACCTGCAGTGATGTCACAAACCACAATGCCATCTGAGTGCAGGGAAAGAAGCTGATTGGTGAATAGAAATGGTGAATATTTCTAGCTTTAAAGGAAAAGAAAGTTCTTCAGTTTTGAAGAATCACTAGACCCAAAAAATTAGCTCTGATCTCTCTCCACAGATGCTGACAGACTTGCTGACCTCTTCCAGCAATTTGTTTTTGTGTCTTCAGTTTTGTGTTTAGCTTTCCAATGTTTCTCTCCTTAAAAATAGCTGGCAAAGTATAAAATCGATACTAGTTTTTTTTTTATGTAAGAAAGCCATTTTTTATGTAAGAAAGCCACTGAAGTGTAGACAGCATGATATCTATAGCAACTGATTCATAAATTAAATCAAATGAGAGTGATGACAGGATGGGTGATGTGTTGATGCTGCAACATGTGGAAGCTGATGAATATCCATGCGATTGAGAGTGAATGCATCTGTAGTAAGTGTTAAAATGAAAGAAAGAACTGCGAATGCTAGTAATCTGAAACAAAAACAGAAATTGCCGGAGAAACACAGATCTGGCAGCATCGGTGGGAAGAATGCAAAGTTAACATTGAGTCCGGTGACTCTTCTTCATAACTGTTAGTAACTAGGAAAAAGTGGTATTTATAGATAGCAGGCCAGGACAGAATACAAGCTGAATAAGTGATAATGAGAAGCTAAGAGAGATAAATGTGATAGCTATGTTGAATGCAACCTCATATAATGTGATAATGGGCCTCGGTGTATATGGGAATAGGTGACTGCACTAAAAGCAACACATCTTATAACATAACCTGGTGTGGGGTGGGTTTAAAAAAAAAGGAGATACACTATTCTCTGCAGCCATGAACAGGAGTCCTAAAGGCTGTGTCACTTGTCCAGCGCCAGGGTATGGACATCTCCTCAGGGCTGAAGAAAAACTTGGAATGGGAAGGAAGGGTTGTCTTCCACATTGGTACCAACAACATTGATTGAACTAGAAAAGAGGATCTGGTGAAAGATTTTGAACAGTTATGAGGTAAATTATAAAGCAGAACCTCCAATTAATAATCTCCGGATTATTACCTGAGCCACAGTCAAATTGGCATAGGGTACATAAAGTAAGGAATTTAAATGTATTGCTCGGAAGTTGGTGTGGGCAAAAGGGGTTTTGGCCTGTGGGGCACTAGCGCAAATACAAGGGTAGGAAAGAACTTTTCTGGTGGGTCAGGCTTCACTTGAAACACGCTGGCACCACTGTCTTGAGTAACTAGGGCTTTACAGAGGGCTTTAAACTAATTGGAGAAACAGAAAGTTTCATAGAGGGGAAGTGGAGGTTTAAAAATCAACAGGATATGGCAGCATTATAGGGTAGCTATCTGGTTAATGGTACCCAGAGTAGGACAGGAGGGATTGAGTGCACAAACATAGAAAACTGCAGTAAATAGAGTCAAAT